TTGAACAATAAAAAAAAACGGGGTTTTCTTTCCTTTCTCAATCTCAACCCCAATTAAACCCCTAAGCGTAGGCCCCTCAGGCCACACGAACACCCAACATAGGTATATACATGTACATATGTAAAGGGAGGATAAGTATGTGACGATCACTTCTCACAATCACAGTGAGACTCCTCACAACCATATATATATATATGTGTGTGATCGCAGACAGTCGAATCTAAAATCCAACCCACAGAACATACCTTCAATCCCATTAAAAATTCAACCAAAAGTCCACGCACTACACAAAGTCAACTTCAACCAATCTCCATACTCACACCCCTCGCTTTAGTCATGCAAACCCCAAACTTTGTCCAACCTTCCATAATTAAATACTCAGTACCTTGTTAAATGGTCATTCAATAAAAGTCCGGGTGAAAACCTTAATAAAACAATAAAAATCACCAGGACTAAAACCTTTTAGGTTGAGTATTGAGGATGAATTGGAGTTGGGTCGTAAACCGACGAATCGACAACTGACCTGTTATCAGTGATAACAGAAGGTGATCCTTATAGGATCAAGTTAAATTTAGTATTGATTTCGAATTAAACGTTCAAGAGGACCTGTAACACAAGAAATGTCAACCCCAAGCTAAATCCATGAGTTCAAATCGAGAGTAGTCTCCAAATCACGATTTCACCAAGAATGATCCTATTTAACTAAGCCTAAGTCTACCCCTAAGTAAGTGCATAAAGAAAGGTAGACCTTTGGCAGAATCTCCTCTATACATAGTGGATTGTTAGAACTATTACCTGTCAAAATATAATCTAACTCCTCTAAACTAAAAAAATTTCGGCAGCGCTTCCCGTATAAAAAATGTTTTTTCAGAATTTATAATAACTGAAATATGAAAACAAAAATCAAACTCTAATTCTGGAAAGTCAAATTCTGTCTTACTCCCTGAATTAGTAAAAATTTGGGCAGCATCTCCTTTAGAAAAGTAGACTTCTCAGATTTATACTAAGTCAGAGAGGAACTCAGAAGTCAAACTTGAGTTCGATTTAGAACAAATTTCAACTGACCTCTTAGATTTGTAGAAATTTCGGCAATGCTTCCCGTAGAGAAAGTGTTATTCCAAGATTTATACAAAGCTAAGTTCAAAGTCTAGAAAATAACTTTGACTTCCAAAAGTTAAATTTTGTCTAACTCCTCAAATCAGTAAAAATTGGACAACACTCCTTTTAGAAAAAAATGACCTCCCAAATTTTTACTAATCCATGTATACAATTTCGACAAACTGAGCTTTAGAAAGCCAAAATTTGACTAACTCCTTGGTTTTGCAGAAATTTCGGCATCGCTTCCCATAGAGAAAGTGACTTACCAAGATTTATACAAGACCAAGTATAATAAAGATCCAAGAAAATGCAGAAATTGACCTAAGTAAAAAAAACTTAGCTAAGAAAATGCAGGAATTGAAACTAACTCCTATGACTCTAGCACGTGGCGAGCAACTAAAGCGACTACATTTCAAACCGAAACTCGGACTAAGTAGTAGTCTCACTCAGTCACATGCAAACCAAACCACAAAGGTAAGTACTATCACCATCCCAAAGTCAACCTTATCAAACAATAGTTTATGATCTTTCAATGGCATAAAGCTAGTTCACCCAATCTTATGGGAACCTGTCTAGCTCAACTATATAATATACATAAACACAGGGCAATACAACTTTTCTCATTTTTTGGCCCATGACTAGGTTAACCAGTCTAGTCGCTCCGAACCATTTAAGTATCCAAGTTATATATAACTGTCTGCACTTTGTCTTTTAAGGCAACATATGACTGAAGGGGAGGCTGGACCCCGTTACCAGCGCAAAGGCGTCTCCTTTACAACGTACTGTGTGTAAAGATGTATCTAAGGGACGCTGGATCTGGTTTCCAGCAGGTGTTGCTCCCCACCAATAGATGGAGCGGCCCGCCAGGCAAGCCTCAATCCCGGTGGTTCTTTTACCACCACCAGGATAGAGGCCTTGCATAAGGGTTTTTTCTCAAAAAAAAAAAAAAAAAAAAAAAAAAAAAAAGACTGAACCGATCATCTTAGGTCAAGATTCAGCCTGTTCCTTCTTACCACAATGTTATTCTTATTTCATACTCGTTTCAGTTGGTGATAAACTATAGTCAGACCATCCAATCTTATGGAAAAATGTTTGACTAACCTATTCGTAAGTAAGTAATATAAGATATAAACAAATTTAACCTTTTTGTTCCAGCATGTGTGTGGCTCCAGACCAGACCACCCAATCTTATGGGAACTTGTTCAGTCCTTCGCTTGAATTTCCCCCTTCAAAATAAAGCAAGAGAGGGTTAAGGTCATCCAATCTTATGGAACCTGCCCAACCCCCTTTCAGAAACTAACAAAACATAAGAAAACCCCAAGGAAAACAATGCGACAAA